ATCGATCTCTTCCTAGGAAGTTTGACCGATCTGCATGAAACTCGGTGAACATAATCTAGGGACCAATATCTAAAGTTCCCTCTTGGCAAAAGTTGGAAAATTTACTAAAACTGAGCTTCTATAAGGCAATGAATATTGCGGAGGGCGTGTTGGCTGCCTCAAATTATGCGTCCATTCCTCAACTACCCTGTAAATTTTTCATATTCCTTTAGTCCGTAAGGGTCCTCAGATTAAAGGAATCAAAAGGGTTTGTCATTAAAATAAATCCAAGTTATGAGTATTGTTTTAACAGGATAAAGTGGTGTTGAGTCAGTTTCTTTCACTCTCTTTTCTATGTCTGTCACAGCTAGATCAAATTAATAATTTATCATTGATACATTATCTAAAGCTTCATTTTTAAACAAGTAATATTCATACTGGTTTAAAAACACAGTTTGATCATACTTTCCATCTTTGCTGAGCGACAGTTTTATGTGAAAGGAATTAAAGGCCTGTCCCAAATATAGCTCTGTTGATTTTAGTGATTTAAGCAAATAATAGCCCGGGCAATTAATTTAAGTGTTACAGGTGTTGTATACGTACAACTGTAACATATCCATGGTTTGCAGAAATGTACAACGCCAACATTTTGTACTACTATTAGGCTGTGCATGCTTTCTTCTGCGTGATGGTCGGTGGGTGTAGTTTAGATCGCCACCTTGGAACTTATATTAAATTAAAAATAGTGGCATTGGCTATAGGCTACTGTATATGCCCTAAAAATGCAAGCCCATCTTCGTCATTATTTTCTTTTCTTGTTTTATTATAAACTGTACATATATTTACTACATGAAATGGCTAAAAACAAGGTCTGTGGATTGTCTTGAGTGACCGGGTCATGATTTCTGATAAAGAGACATTGCTGTTGAATTTATCAAATGAATTCTTTTGATGCTTTGAACACCACAAGCTGAGTACCATCTAGTTCCACTAAAGACAGACATCTCTAAGGCTGATATATCCAAAACTCAGCTAGTCAGTGAAGATTCTCAGTCTATATCGTAGGCAACTGGACTTCCTTGCAAGGAAGTCCAGTTGCCTACGATATAGCACTTATGAACACTTAGCTACTCACACCAAAACTACAAATCTACGGTGATAAACAGCACTAAAGATGAGGGGAAAATTTGTGCCTTTGATTTGGGGGATCGAACTGTCCCTTTAAGTTATTTGTTATAAATGAGACACATTTACAGAAAACATGAGGAATTAGTTCATGGGGACAGGAATGTTGTTGTGTAACAGGAATGACCCATCTGTGTGACACATCCCTGACTGATGTTTGACCTCCTGTTCTGCACATTCACATGTCAGGAATTATAGACACGTGTGACATGTTGGGAAAACCCCATTGTTTCAGCTGGTTTGATGGTCAGGTCACAGTATTTGTTTACAATGAGAGACACAATATGAATTAACCCCACCCCCACCCCCTTTTTTCCCTCCAATTTAAAATTCAGTCTATCTGCAGACATTGAAGTCACAGACGTGTTTGTTAAGTTGTCTGAAGGAGGCTAAGTATCTGGACGTCTTTGATCCACCTCCCCCAGGAATGCTACGCCTCACTGCTGCTCCTCAAACATCGTCCTGTAAGAGACCCCAAAGCACTCACTGAAGAGCTCATAAAAGTGATGCACAAAACGCCTCCACCACCATGACTCAGGCCTCTGCTGCACACTCATATGCATTCAGTACGGCCTAATGCATTTATATTCTAGTTGACTCATAAACTGAGGAACTTAAGTGGCGGTTGAATTCTGATTATCTACCAAAAAGCAAAACAATATGTGCACAAAGTGTGAAGAAGGTCAAAATATGGTGTTTTCATGCCTGTTTTATAAATTCTGGTTTGGCCCGCTTGTAAAATGTCAATGCTCGAGTCCTAATGCAGAGTTTGGATCATTTATAGATATCTAGCTGACAAACAGACTGATGCAACGCTCTGCAATGCTGCACTGCTCTGGGATGTTTTTATCTTCACAGCTGATTTAAAGTTTGAAGAGATATTAATTATAATCAACTTCATTTGAGTGACACCAGTGATCTGTCTGTCATCTTGTTCACGAGTGAGGGTAGAATGGAGCATGAGATGGATTGGTGGTTTTTGTAAACTGGTCCATCTACGTCCCAACCCTCACCTATGGTCATGAACTCTGGGTAGTGATGGAAAGAAGGAGATTGCGGATATAAGTAGCTAAAATGAGCTTCCTCCATTGGGTGGATGGGCTCAGCTTTAGAGATAGGGTGAGGAGCTGGGACATAAGGAGGGAGCCCGGAGTAGAGCCATTGCTTCTTTGCGTTGAAAGGGGTCAGTTGAGGTGGTTTGGATCAAGATGCGTCCTGGGCGCCTCCCGCTGGAGGTGTTTCGGGCACGTCCCACTGGTAGGAGGCCCCGTGGCAGACCCAGAACAAGCTGGAGGGATAACATATCTTATCTGGCCTGGGAACACCTTGGGGTCCCCCAGGAGGAGCTGGAGAGCGTTGCTGGGGAGAGGGACGTCTGGATGGATCAGTGATCTTGCAGCACAACTTGACCACCTTTTCCAACGTGTTCTTCTTTTTGAGGCTAAAGTAGTGTCACATTAAAAATATTCGTGTTTTTCCAATGCTGCTCATCGCTTTATTGTGTTCCACAGTAAAGGTTACAAACCTTTTTAAAGATGTGCAATAACCAAGATCATGTCAAGGTTTAGCGTACAGATATAAGATCTGATGAGGCGTTTAGTGGCTGCTGATTCTTCTTCTTTTGACAGAAATAAAAACAAAGTCAGGACACAGATTTAAACCCTGCTGAGCATTATTTGTCTGATCAAAGGACATCTCTGCAAAAAACAACTCAGTCCATCGACCCACCTCCGTAGGTAGCTCCTGACTGAACACATACCCTCAGGCATCTTGGTGTATTTACACAGTGGTAGTAAACAGTGTTTGTGCTTTTCATCACTGAGTGGGGGGCTGGAGTTGGTCCTGTGATGCTGTGGATGTGGGACGATAAAAGAGCAGGAGCACCACTGACTCTGTTATTTTTTTATTTCAGAGGACACGTTTCAGCATGGACAACAGGATGTTCAGGACGGCTGCTTGTTTGGTGCTTGTTTTATCAGGTAGATTAAATCCAGATGATGTTTTGATGGGAAATCTGCTACATCATGAATTTAGTTTGCTGTATTACAATCAAAATGTATTATGTTTCTCACCATTACGGTCAAAGATATGACAGAGCTGCTCTTAATTTTCCATTTTGTATAAATAGTTATGTGTGCAGGTGAGGGCATCTTACCTCCAGGACCCCTGAGTGGAGCTGTGGCAGGCACAGTGAAGTTCACCACCACCCTCAGACCTCCTGCGAGTCCATTCCTCTCGGTCAGCTGGAGCTTCAAAGGGGTGAACATCATCACCTCCACCAGCACTGACATCATCGAGCCCGGGCATGCCAACAGGATCACACTGGACCGAGCCACGGGGTCCCTAGAGCTCAGGAACCTGCTGCCCGAGGACAGCGGGGAGTACACCGTCACCATCATACCAGACGGAGGGCTGCAGAAACAGGGGAGGACCAGACTGGATGTGTATGGTGGGTTTAATGTTGCAGTGGTTTTTCAATAACTGACAAGAAAATATCTTAATGTCATTTGAAAAGGGTGACGATCCCTCTAAAAATAAGGGCTGTCTCTGATTTTTTTTTTTTTTTATAAAAAGATTAATAGATGTTCAGTGTTTTAGTACAGAAATCTTAATTTCAATTTATATCTTCAGATCTGTTATGTGGATGTCTCTGTGGTGGATACTATATTAATATAATTCAATCCAATGCAGTAATCCTGCATTCATTTTAATTTTCTTTCAACATGACATTGCATTACATTTCTTTTATTTAAAACTGAGCAGTTTTTGAGTTCATAGTTTGATATCGCTGGGGAATATGCACAAAAGTTCCTGCTAGGATTCATGGAGTCATAGGTTTTATTTGTCATGTTCACTGACACAATGCAGTGTCACCACTCTAAAATGAGCAGTGTGTAGGATTGAGTGGAATCTAGCAGTGAGGATTGCAGATTGGAACCTGCTGAAACTCCTCCTGATTATATTTCCTTCAGTGTTAATTGCTGAGGAGGTTTTTTAATCAGGAGCCAAATTATCCGCAGAGGTCTCCTCCTCTCCAAAACAGACAGACCAGTTTATTAAAACCAGTAAAAACGCTGAATGAAGCAGTTCCATGTTACAAATCAGTGTTTCTCCTACGCTGTTTGGCTCATTGCAGACGGGTTGCTAGCCCAGCACCTGCTAATGTGTGTTCACCCTTTTCCTCTGATAATTTGAGATCCAGACGTGGAGGAGGTTTTAAAGAAAAAAAACTGGACTTTAACTGTGTAAAAATATTGAATAAAGCAGTTTTGCAATGCTGCTTGTTGCAGAGGGGCTGCTAACTACGGCGGCGGACACAAAAAACTTGCATAGTGTTTGTTGTTTGTCCTTTCGGGGCTACTGTAGATATAAACAGGTCATTTTAAGGTAACTAAAACACAACAATTCTTATTTTCAGGCAATTACACACTAAAGAAGACATACTTATTATATTATATTTAATTTCTGCCAATATATTCCTGTAAATCCTACACACTGGACCTTTAAGACGTGTTTGAAAATTACAAGTTTGAGAAAACGAAATGTTAGATTGGTAAAATATTAAATAAAATAGTTTGAAATTTTAGAACTGTAAAGTTGCTATACGACGAATATTATAATACAACTGAAAATAAACAACACAAATTTTTCCCCCATTTGTTAGACTTACAACTTTGAAATAGCTTGAATGGATGAATTATTTGTGAATAATTAAATAAAATAACTAAATAAATTAATAAATAAATGTGCATGATGTGACATCAGAATGTTTATGCCAAGTTCAAATCATTTTTTTAACCAATTTCTTTGTACTGACTCTCTTTATGTTCTGCCAGCACTAATAACTGGAGCCACCATCCGCAGCCCTGCAGCCATCTTGATAGAAGACAGAAGCTCCACCAACCTGAGCTGCGAGGCCTCCGGTTCCATCAGCACCAGAGTGTGGACGAAGGATGGCCGGCCGCTTTATCCGAATGACAGAGTCAGCTTCTCCATGGACAACAGGACGGTCTTCATGCAGCCTGTTCACAGCTCCAACCACGGCACCTACCAGTGTCGACTCAGCAACCCAGTCAGCACCATGACCGCGACCCACGATCTCACTGTCAACTGTGAGTACTGCTCACTCACTGTACAGTTGGCTCCCAGTGACTATTTCTAGAAAGAAATAGACAATGAAGACTCATGTCAAGATGAAAACTGAGTGTATTTGTTGAAATATTTGGGTATTAGCTCTTAATTCTTATCAGTTATTGTAGTTTTTTAGGGACAGGTCTGAAGTTTACAGCTCTAACGCAGCATAGTCAGTGGTGGAATGTAACTATGTACATTTAAGTAAGTACAGATAAGAGCTAAGCACTGCACTGATGTATATATAGATATACATATAAAGACTAAATAAGACAGATGAAAACAACCAATCAAAACTGAGGAGTCTATCGCAGCGGTCAGTCACTGCTCAAGAATTGCTGCCAAACTGTTAAACTAGAAAGCACTGATCAAATATGAATCAAGACTATGTTATTGCATCAGGATGTTTTCAGAAACATATTTTAGTGTACTGTTTAGCTGTAAAATGAGAATGTTTGTGATCCAGCCATGTTTGGACATGCTGCCAGTTTGAGTGCAGGTCATGAGCCATGATTGACAGCTGCGTTAGAGACTCCTCAGCTCTGCAGTAGATTCAAGCAAAAGCCATTAGATGCTTTAGGAAGATGAGGAGGGACATGATATATTCCACAGACTGCTTAATGTACGTCTTTCAGAATATAGTGACAGTTTCAGCAATTACAACAAAAAGTCATTTTGGAGCTTTGAAGCAACTGTAAGGAAATTATTTTGTGTTGATTTTGGCAGCCTCCTGTGGACAAAAGTGGTAGTGTTTCAATGAGCTTCATTGTCTTGACGGACTTGGTAGGGAATCTGACTCAGGGGCAGGCATTCAATTCAAGTCAATTTTATTCATAAAGCACAATATCACACATCACAGTTTCGTCCCTCTGCCCTTGAACCCTCACAACAGATAAAGAAAAACTCCCCAAAAAACCCTTTAATGGGGGAAAAAGGCATTAAGAATAACTTTATAGAAATAGACACTGTTCTCATTGTTGCTCTCTTGATTGCTCACATACAGTAGGTCATATAAAGGTATCAGCATTAAATTGACACTTTCTCATAACCAACTTAAAACTCCTAGTAGCTGCTTTAAGTACAAATTTGAGGTACTTCTACTTTAATATTTATTTTGAAAATACTTCAAGTGAGAGGGAAATTCTGTACTTTTAATTCACTGCATTTATCTGACAGCTTTAGTAACCAGTTACTTTATCAATAACGATGTTTCCATACAAAACATATGAGGAGTGTAGCTGGAACAACTGAGTGACAGAAAATTTGGCAATTATTTTGATAATTCTGTAGTTATTTTTAATGCAAGAAAGCCAAACATTTTAAGATTACAGCGTATTTGTTGCTTTTCCTTGAAATTATTTTAATATTTCTAATTTATCTGTAATAGTTTTAAATTGTGTACTAATGGCTGGATAAAAAAAAAGCACGTGAATGTGTTGCTTTTAGCTTTGAGTGATGTGATGAGCATTTTTTATGATTTTATAAATTTTAATATGAACTAAAAATGGATAAATCGAGAAACTAATCAGCAGATTAATCAATAATGAAAATGATTATAAATTGCCTTAAAATAACAATCCTGCTTTTACATTACTGCATGAGTAATTATTCTTATGATATAATATATAATAATATAATGGTCACAGGGGACATTTTTCTTTCACTTTTAATACTTTAAGTACATTTTCCTGATGAATTTACTTGCGATGGGATGCATTCACAGTGTGGTATTCCTATGTGTGGTGTATGTGGACTTAAGCAAAGGATCTGAATACTTCCTGTATTTCTTTTCTTTCAGTTGGACCACATAACATATCAATTACTGGACCATCAGCAGCAGCACCCGGCCGCAGAGTCACCCTACAGTGCACAGCAGACTCTGTCCCTCCAGCAAACTTCAGCTGGACGTTCAACAGCAATGAGACACATGTTAACACCTCCATGTTTGTCATAGAGAGGCTGGGGACAGAGAGCATTGGCAATTACACCTGCACTGCCAGAAACATGGTGACCATGCTGGAAAACTCCACAGTTCTGAATCTGAGAGGTGAGATTGCACTTTGTGTCAGAGTTACTTACATGTTAATCCCAGATGCCAATTTTCAAGGGGTGATCATTGTTGTTTGTTGTTGTCATGAAGCATCCTGCACTGCTCCCTGCTGGTCGTTTTCACTGCTGCTGCTCAGTGCGCTGACTCTGAGAGGGTTACTGTGAGAGGAAGAGGCAGGTGAGATTAATATTCATGATCTATCTGTCATATTTAAACACCTGTAATCTATCTTACTGTCATGTTAACTTACATAGTATATATTTTATTTCTTTAGAGACTTTGGTGCTCAAGCTCAAAGAGGAAACTCTCACCCTGGAAAAAAGATTTCTCTCTCATGTTAATTAAATACTCTTTTGGAGATGTATGAGTGCAAATAAACACCTGTGTGTTCACATGTGGTTTCACAAATAATAGTAACATAAATGCTTTTTACATAGTCATTTATACTGCAGAAATATTCACCTGTTTTATATAAAAACACACAGAGGGTTACAGTTAATGAAACTTTTGTTATGGAAGAAAATGAACACTTTTTTTACAGGCAGCAAACATATTTTTAGAAATACTTTGTGACCTTTTTTAATATATACAGAAGCTGTTGTGTGAAATTCCCCTTTCTGGGTGACAAAAGGTTCAGCAGTTTTGCTTCACAGTTACAAACCTCGTGATCCTAACCCTGACCCAGTTTTATTACAGCCCCAGTCACTGCGTATGACACGCTGAAGAGTTTCCACAGACCACACCTCTCCTGATTCATCAAACAATCAGACTGAATGAGCAACTCTTGATGGAGTTTGATATAATTACATCAGGGTTTGTGTATTTAAAATTATGTGGGTGATAATATATAAGCATGATTGTTCCATGTCATTCAGTTTTTTCCTGGTATGTCTAACTGTACATAGTGCAACTTGTATTATTCAAAATTATCTGTGAATAAAAATATTAAATTTGCAGGTACTGTGATAATGTGGCTGAAAAATGGCGGGATAGATTTACAAGATGCGACAAATGTTTAGTCTAGTTTGTGCCAAAATATCATTCATGTTTACAGCATGGAATAAATTTACTGCCTTTTAATTGAGAAAATCTGCTTTTATTCTTCTTTTACGGAGTCTTTTTAACAGAATTATTTGGGTAACTGATCCTGTCATTGTTTCTACATGTTAACTGCAGCCTACACTTCAAGTCTCATGTCCAGTCCTGTGAATGAAGCTGTGGTGTCGAGTGTTACATGGATCATCAGTGACGGAAAAAGTATTAAAGCGACAAATCAAAAAATACATATTTTCCTCTTACCTAGAGTGCTGCTTCTCAGCCTAGATTGTTTTGGTGTGAGATGCTGAGTGTTGGAGATATCAGCTGTAGAGATGTCTGCCTTCTCTTGAATATAATGGAACTAGATGGCACTCAGCTTGTGGAGCTCAACGTGTCAAAAAAAAGAAAATACAACTCAACAGCAATGTCTCTTTACAGAAATTATGATGTGGTTCCTCAAGATAATCCACAGACCTTGTTGTGAACATTTTCATGTAGGAACTATTGTCTTTCTACACCCACCAACCATATCACTGCACAGGAGGAAGCGTGCATCTACTCATTGATGCATAGGTGTAGATTTCGGGGAGGATGCAGGGGACATGTTCCCGTCAATATTTAGAACATGTCCATTTGTCCTCCCCAATAAAAACATTGCAATAGCAGAGTACTTTTATTTAGATCAAATTAAAGACATTAAAGGCATAAACTGACAAAAAAAGACACTAATTGTTGTATAAAAAAAAGTGTTTGAGACTCAGATATTTCTCCTGAACCCTCTGTTTCATGCCCCCCCCCCCCCAATGTTGAAATGCAACCTACGGCCTCGCACTGACATGAGGTTCGAGCTTGTGACAGCGAGAGATGTAAACATTAATGGCGTCCTCCTCAGTTGAGCTATAACGTTAGCTAGCTAAGTGGTGCTAGGTGAGCTAGCAGTAGATGCAGGCTTCCTTCTGCACAGTGATACAGTTGGCAGGTGTAGTTTGGAGAAAGAAAATAGTTCCTACATGAAACTGCTCACAACAAGGTCTGTGAGTTATCTTCAGTAAGTTAGGGTACAATTCTGGAAGGAGACACTGATGTTGAGTTTATCAAATCTATTTTTGGCACTCTGAGCACCACAAGCTGAGTGCTATCTAGTTCCATTATATTAGACAGAAGGCAGACATCTCTATGGCTGATTTCTCCACCACTTGGAAACTCACACCAAAACAATCTTGATAAAAAAGCCAAAGATAAGAGGAAAATATGTACTTTCAATTTCAATGAACTGACCCTGTAGGATCCTTTAAGTAAAAGTAATAACACTGCACTGCCAAAACACTCCACTGCAAGTTAAAGTCCTGCATCCAACAATGTCCTTAAGTAAAATGTATTATTGCCACAATCTACTTTAAACATCAAAATAAAGTAAGCGATAATTCAAATGTAAACCCTTGTTTTTAGTGTTGCTTAAGAATGACTTGATGAGGACACAGAACTGCATCTGCAGCCTTTCTAGCTATTAATACTGTACCAACACATTCACAGTGTTCAGTGCACCACTATGAGAAAACTGTGTGTGCTTTGACCTTGAAGAATGTAACTGAGGATGCAGAGCTGTGCCAGTCGCAGTTGTTATTCCTGTCTTGCACAGTAAAACCAGTAATTTACACGCAGGCAACAAGCTGAGCTCGACCAACTGAAACAGGCGAAGCTTTGCATCCCTGACCTGATTACCTTGGCAGACACCTGGGGCTAATTTAGCCAGGGTCTCTGATTGGTGGAGATAATCATACATCACTCCTCTGAGATGCAGCTTCTATCAGGAGACGTGACACAAGGTCGCTGGTGCGAGGCTATAAAATGAATGCAGTGTTCTGCTTTGTGCTCTTTTGTTTCCTCACGCTGTTATCATCCAGCATCTTAAACGAAACTGTCGAGCGAGGCAGGCTGGACCTTTGACCGACAGACTGAGTACATGAGGTGGTGATATCTGGACAAAGTTCACAGAATTAAAGAGGACATCAGATATTACACAACACATTACTGATCAGTCACTGGAATTAATATAAGGTGGTGGTTTATGTGGCTGCACAGGCAAACAACAGTTCTCAAACAGAATGAGAGAAGATGGCGGGGACTGATGATCATAGCAGATTGAATATTTGATGTTCAAATGAAAATGTCCTGTGTGTGTCTCCAGGGAGACGTTGTTGCCATCACTTTAGTCATGGTGTTGGGTCTCTATTTCATCACAATTTACCAGTGGTGAGTTTTATATCACATAAACTGAATGCCTAATGTAACATAAAATACTAAATCAAATGGTAAATGGACCTGCTCTTATATAGCACCGTTCTACACTCATTCATACGCTGATGGCCTAGGCTACCATACCAGGTGCCACCTGCTACTCAGTTTTTAACACACTCACACCGATGGAACATTGGGAACGATTTGGGGTTCAGTATCTTGCTCAGGAATCCTTAGACATGTGGACTGGAGGAGCTGAGGATCAAACTCCTGATCTTTGGATAAGTGGACGACCTGCTCTACTTTCTGAGCCCCAGCCCCGTAAATTAATTCTTCACAAGATTGACAACTAAAGCAAGAAAAGTTGCTTTCTATTGTTTCCAGAAGAGGGTTAAACTGAACAAAATGCTTTTTTATCCCCTCAACATGTCTTTGTCAAATATTTTGCCTCAACTTAAAGAACTATTGAGAGCAGGTATTTTGTTCACTCCACCAAAACCGATCAGCCCCACTGAGAGTGACCTTGATCCCTCGTCTGCTAATCTGAAGCCTGCTGCCAAAGCTGTGGGAGTATTATCTGATTCCGATCTAAGCTTCCAACCACATATCAAAAAGTTGTCCAGTCCTGCGTCCTGCATTCAAGAACTGTCTTAACTCCCTCCTTTCTGGCGTCAACCAAATGTCACTCTATCGCTCCGACTACAGCTCAGAGTCCAGCAGGAAGGCCTCTCACTGGTTTTAACAGATGACATCACATCACCCCAGTCCTGGCTACTCCACACTGACTTCCTGTTCGTTTTAGAATTGATTTTAAGACTTTACAGATCACCTTTAAGCTCGTCTGGACCTGGCCCGCAGCCATAAAGCACAAATGCTGAACCCCATATGAGCCAGTTCGCAGCCTTAAATCTTCCAGTGCAGCTCCTCTGGCTGTTCCAGAGTCGAGGCTTAAATCTAAAGGTGAACTTGTTTTTGCCTTCACCATGGGCGGATTATGAAACTATGGGCCCCTGGGCACAGACATGCAGGCCCCATCACCTTTTCTATAGCGGAGCAAGACTCAGACTTTGTGATGGGTTTGCCTTTTTTTGTTGTTGTTTTGTATCGTCCTTCACTTGTTTTTGTCTCCTTGAGGTAATTTTGTGTCTTTTTTTGGTTCTTTTGTGTCTCTTTCTGGTTTTTGGCTGTTTTAATAGTTATTTTGTGTCTCTTTGCAGTTTCTTTGTATCTCTTTGTCACATTGTGTGTCTTTCGGGTTGTTTTGCCTGTTTTAGTATTTGTTTTTCTGTCTCTGTGTGGTTGGTTTGCATGTTTTCGTAGTTACTTTGAGGCTTTTTGCAGTTCCTTTGCATCTCTGTAGTCGTTTTGTGTCTCTTCCGGGTCAGTAATTTGACTGACATTTTGCAGATGAAGGCCAGGAGGGCCCTTGACACTCTGGGCCACAGGCCTGTGCTTGGTTGGCCCGCTCAGTAATCCATTCATGACCATCAGGGCCCCTCGGCTTTCGAATGACCTCCTGAGTTGGTAAGGTTTGCAGAATCAGTGACTTCTTTTATATCATTTCTTAAAACACATCTTTATAGACTTCCTTTTATCTAATGTTGTCTTTTTATTTTGTGTTTTTATTGCCTTTTTGTATTTGTATTTATTGACATTTTGAATTACCCATTTTTGCATTTTTAATTTTCTCTCTCTTATGTTTGGTAGGATTGTCTGGCTTTCTGTTGCCTTCTGTATATCTGCCTTTGCTTTTGCTTTGTCTGTCAAAGCACTTTGTAAACTGTTTTTAAAGGTGCAATATAAATAAAGTTACTAAGTAAATAGGATCTTGCCATAACAAGGTTCCTCTTTTGATGATAGCGCTCTTTGTAGATCTGCTGTCATGCTATAAATAGTGTCAAAGTTCATGACCATCCTTTTTCTCATGTCTTGCTATCAAAACTTTTTACTTTATATCAATTTAATTTTCATGATTTAACTGTAAAACTCTTTGCACACATGGATTCATCAACAGAAGCATCAGTAAAAGAACAAGGTCACCAATAAACCAACAAGCCACAGGACTAAAAGCAACGAAAATGATCATGTGAACAGTTATCACAATTTTCAAGACCTTATCAACAATAATTTGGAAAAACACAAATTTGCAGATGTGTAATTTCCCATTTAAAGGCCCAGTGTGTAGGATTTAGGAACATCTATTGGCAGAAGTTATATATTCCATTAATAATCATGTTTTCATTAGTTTATAATCAACATAAAATAAGACACCGTTGGGTTTTTTGTTACCTTAGAATGAGCTGTTTACTGTATGTCTTTATACAGAGTGCAGAACAGACAAACCAAACACTGGCTCTCAATAGGGTAGGCCTCCAGGAAGTGCGTCAAGCTTTGAAGCCAAATTTTGTAGTGGCCAAACAGCAAAATTGCTGTCTGTCACATGATGCAATTGGGGTGAAAAGACTTTTTCCCATAGAGTTACAGAGTTGGAAAGAGACGTCTGTAAATCACTGGATACATTTTTTTAGCGCCACAATCCTACAACATGACTTGTTTCACTATCAGGATTTGATCCATTTGGTCCAATAACATTTGGAAAGTCTGTAAGAGCTGCGAGATTAGATCACTTTATCCCCAGTCAAGTTAGCTGGTTAGGCTGGTGGAAGTTTCTAGTGCGCTTGCCCTATGGGCCCAATGACGCAGAAGCAACACTGATCATCCAGGTTACTTTATACGCAGCAGTTGCATGTTTTTGGCTTCATGTGCCACTGAACATCTTTCATCCAACGCTATATCCAGGTCTCTTTGCCTTGGCCACTGTAGTTCTCCTACACACTTGGCACATGGGGGGAAAGTTACAATTCTATTCACATTTATATTCTCCTGTCTTTCTCTTTTAGTTCTCTGACACACAAATTCTCACATTAAAAAGGTGCTGATATGAAGAGAGAACTAAAGCCCCGTCCAACAGTTTCGACAGTTTCCTCCTTTATAAAAAAGGGAAACAAAAGCATTACCACAAATCTGACATCTCACTGCACACCCATTAACAACACAGCACAACGTTCTGTGCAAATGCTACGTTTACAAAATATAATTACATGTACAAACAAAATATCAAACAAACATTACTAATTATTAATAATGCACATAAAATAAAATGGCATAAAACAAAATAAGGTATTTGCTTTCTGGCTGACAGTACAAGGGATAATATCAGAATTTCACACAATCAGGACGTCTGGTACTTTTAAATCAGCCTGCGATAATGCAAAGCTGCTGATGTTGACATATCCACAAATCACAACTCATTCTTACTTATCAAGAAAATACTTTGTTCAAACAGCAAACTCTCTTTCTACTTCCTCAATAAATAAATAACAAACAAAAAGAAATAAAACATAATAAAATAAAAAATAAAATAAATAAAATAAGACAAAATAAAACAAAATAAATAAAATAACATAAAATTAACAAATGTAAACACAACAAAACAAAAACCCCAAATAAAATAAAATAAAATGAGATAAATCACGTGTTTCTCTGGGTGTCATTGTCGTCACCTGACCACACGAGGTCGCTGTTCTACTGGTGGATGCTTCACGGACCGACAACAAGGAGAATAAACAAGCAGTCGGAAATCATGCTGCTTGCTGATTGCAGTCAGAAGAGAAACCACCAGCCTGTGGAGTTGTTGTGTTTTTATTGCAGGGCAAAGTGCTGAGAGAAGGGAAAATGCTTCCTGCCGCGGTCATGTCTGTATCCTCTTCTTCATTTTTTTCTTTGGTAAGTTGTTTTTATAATATAATATAATAAGACAGGTGTGCACACACTTCAATAAGCTGTTGATAACTTTGGGTGTTTGATATATGAAGCGTGGGGACTCTACAGGGAGTGGACAAACACTGGTTACTCACACTTAACTGCACTTTTTATTTATAGCTGAACTTGGATCAGTGTTGAGGTTTAGTGGCCTCGGTTCAGACTTTACCTTCCTCTTTGCAAATGCTCATTTTTCTGTCTGCCTCATGTCGCCATCATTTTTAGACTTCTCACCTGTTGCCACACTTAATGTTTCTGCAGTGTATCCGACTGAAGCAGCAGAGACTGAACACTGACGGATCTGCCTCTCTGTAACTGTAAGTTCCTTTAATTTGTTGACCTAAAGCGACTAAAGCAAGTCATTTTTCAACAGCTGACTCATGATGACGCTACTTTAACTTCACCCAGCTCACTTTGTGTTAGTAATGGACCACAGTAGCCTCCCAAAATGCTGGTGCATTAATCCATATACGCCCTATTGTGTTGTGTTGTAATGTGTTTCTGTTATTTTGCCTGCAGTTATAAAACAATGAAACCTTGCAGCAAGTCACCTCTCATACTGCTGGAGCTGATTTACATCACATTACTCCCAGGTAAGACAAAATGTTTTCTACTTTTGAAAGGCTGATGTTATGTAGTAGAGTATATAGAAATAAGAAAATGTTGATTGAGAGACTCAGCTGTGAAACTTCCCCATTAACCCAGTAAAACATGTTCTGCAGCCTACGATCTATAAATGGCGCCCAGCTTCTCAATGCTCAGAGATCTGATAAGATAAGTTTGTTTGTTAAATGCTGTTGAGGCCATGATGTGTGATTGGAAAAGGGTGAATTAAATGTGAGGACACAAAGAGTACTGCCAGAGATCAACAACATGGCATCTTTTTTTGACAGTTCTTGAGGCACAAGAAGTCAAAGTCTCGTCCACAGTGACGGGATACCTGGGGCATGATGTCACCCTGCCATGCACATTCATCCAGGGACCAAAAGACGCTAGTATTACTCAGGTTCAGTGGGAGCTCAAGCCACCAGAAGGAGAGAAAATCATCCTTATTGTTTTCAATCTTAACTTTGGAACCAGTGTTCACAATACGTCTCTGAAGGGCAGAGTGGAGCTTGAAGAACAATCTTTGATCATCGGAGATGTAGAAATGAGTGATGCAGGGTCGTACACCTGCAGCATTACAACTTTTCCCAGTGGTTCATTTGAAGGAACCACCAACCTTGATGTTCAAGGTGAGTATGAAAAGCATGTTGACACAAACGATAAATAATGTTCAAAATCAGCATGATCCCAAACTAATAACTTGAACCTAATATTTTATTTCAGCTTTGACAGTAGATTATTTTAACCTGACTGTACATTACTTGTCAGTGGGGCTGGGCAATATGGAGATGCTATATCGGTATCGAGATACAAGACAATGTGTCTTAGATTTTGGACATCGTTGTACCGTGATGTGGCAGAAATGGTGTTTTTTCCCCTCATTTAATTAGAGTAAAATTATGGAAATTTATCAAATTACCAGACTGTTTATTTATTTTAATGCTTGCCTTAATCCACTTAGTCGTTATATCCGGATTAATTATATTAAGTTTTATTCATAATGCCCGATATCGTGAATCACAATTTGCCTCGGAGGGGTTTACAGCACACAACATCCCTCTGCCCTTGGACCCTCACTGCTGATAAGGAAAAACTCCCCAAAAAAAAACATAAAAAAAAAAAAAGGTAGAAACCTCAGGAAGAGCAAAGGAGGAGGCATCCCTCTTCCAGGATGGACAGACATGCAATAGGACAGATCAACGTTATAAATTCACATTAATCCATTATTTATGATTATTGATCAAAAATCTCATTGTGTTAATATTTTCTGAGGAAAAAAGAACAACAAAAAAACAAAAAACAACAGTCATCCCTTCAATGTTCTGCATCAGAGAGGGTATTTGTTCAGAAACATTGTGTTCGATTATGTCTCCCAGTCCTGGCATTAATGAAGTGCCTTTGAGGAGATTTAAAAAAAAAAACGAGATATATATCGTGTATCGAGATACAGCCTAAAAATATCGCAATATAATTTTCAGGACAGATCACCCAGCCCTACTCATCAGTGGGGAAAACATGGCTTTGATTCTCTTAGAACATAAGAGGGATCATTTGACACAGCTGCTGTGTACCTTGTACGTCACTCAACATTTATACAGCAGTTATTAATGATAAATAATCACAGTCACGTTTCTTCTCCCAGAACAGATGCAGTTATCATCAGGGGCGGTTTCTGGTATTGTGATTGCTGTCCTGTTGCTGTTAGTCGTCGTGGCAGCCGCACTTTACCTCCGCTTCATCAAAAGGTGTGTGTGTTTGATGTGTATTAAATGTAGAAAGGAAACCTCTTCCCCTGACAAAGACGCCCTCCAGGGTTCAACATTAATGTTTTTTTTTTCCCCTAGTTGAGCAAGTGGGTCAGAAATCAACTTGCCCAAAATCAATTTTTACTTGCCTTTTAATTATTAGTGGTTATCAAATAACAACAAATACTAAAGTCAACTGTCATGTTTAATCTTTCGCCCACATCTTCTAACCCCACCCAACTAAACCACAGCTAAACTGAGAGTGTTTCCAGGATAATTCAAATGCTCGCTTGTACTTCAGCTCATAAACTTTGTCTTGACCTGCTGCCATTTTCTCATGAGTGCCTGATCAGTACTGCACATGTGCAACTCTGAACCCTCACTCTAGCCATTTCCATCATCAGCTCTTGAAAAAACAATGTGTTTAATTATTTTTTAACACTTACTCAATCAGAGAGGTGAGTGATTAGATTAGCAACTGACATGATGTGGCATTTTACCTGCCCTTGACAATGGGGAAAAACTTATTGTTGAGCCCTGCTTATTTCGTCAGCTGTCACAGATATGTCATTATCCACAGGCGTAGATTTTGGGGGGTAAGCAGGGGACATGTCCCCCTCAATATTTAGAACATGTGCATTTGTCCCTCCAATAAAAACATTAATCATTAAAGTAGCACAGGACTTTTATTTTGACAAAATTAAGGACATTTACATTATACAGTAAATTGATGCAGAAAATGCGCACACTGGTGTATAAAATTCAGCTTGATGCAGGAAATAAAGTGTTTGATGCTCAAACTTCTCTGGTGGATGACCCCTAAACCCCGCATTTCATATGGTCCCTCACAATGTGGAAATGAAACCCACACACTTGCCACATATTTCTAACAATAACTACATACTTTGTTTACATTGATGGTTATGTAATGGTATTACTGTAAATGTGTGACTTCTTATCTATCTTATCTATCTGGTCTTTGATATTTACATATACAGCTAAGTGTAATTACAGGAAAAAAAACAACAAACTGCACAATGCAGAGTTTTATGCATGCATGGCCATGATGAGCCCTGCATGTGTATGCAGTGTGTACTTTTCTATTTATTGTCAGACAGGCATTATGCTCTCTTTGCATGATACATTTTTTGCTATTACTTTGAATTTCTGGGATGTACTGCATGTTTTAGTCATTCTCAGGATTTACTGCCTTTACTGAGCTGCAAGGGCGTACAGTAGGTTTGGTTGGGAGGGACACGTATGAAACAGGAGGCTTGGAGGTCATCAAACACTTTCAATTTTATGCATTCTGGTGAATTTATATGCACCAATTTGTGTATTTTCTGCCTCAATTTATGGTGTAAATGTCTTGATTTTGTCTGATACTTTCATGTTTTCATTTTGGGGCACAAATGCATATGTGCTAAACACTGAGGGGGATTTGTCCTTTGCCTGCCCCCCCCCCCCCAACAAGTTAAGAAACATGTCACTGTTTTTGTTTGTTTGTTTGAGATGATTATTGAAAAGCTGGTTGTATCTTGGTTAAAATGTTCTAATAAAGCAAAGATAGAAAATATTGCAATATCTTGTGTGCTGTAAAGTGGTTTGAAAAAAATTAAATCGGAATCGGCCATCCAAACACTGCAAATTGGAAATCGTTATTGGCCCAAAAAATTGTAATCGGTGCAAGTCTATTAATTTGTTAAGCATATCTTTGGGCTGCTGTGAAACTGCACCTACTTAGGACAACAAAAAGTTTATCTTGGGTGCGTTGGTACATGGACACCTGCACACCAATGAAACCAGGCTGGACAGACACACATAAGGTTCACAAGCTGAGATCAAGGCAAAAAAAAGGTCAATTTATTTAAGACATTCATGAACAAAAAGAAGTGTGCTCAAAGTGCAAAAAATAATAATAATAAAAATAAATAAAAATAAAAATAATAATAAATAGTGAATAGAAACAGCAGCAAACATTTCAGTCCTTGAGGGAACTGACGAAAGTCAAAGACAGAAACATTTGTTACTGTTTCTATTCACTTCTCAAAAATATGTTTTGTACTCTGAGCATCCTTCTTTTTGTGTAAACCTTTTTTGTGCTGTCCAGAAGGGATATATAAGTTTATACAGAAAGGTTTATAGGATTAGAAAGATTCCTGTAGAACAAAAGTCAAATCAGCTCAATCACATGCAGAAAATCTGATCACAGAACTTTTGATTCCTTCACTCAGACGTGATCCTACAGTCAGACACCGCGTCTACATTGGTGAGAACACAAGCACTCTTCACTCTATTTCTACACAGCAACCGATTTGTTTGTTTCAGTTCCCGTGTCTGAAGCGTGTCTGTCTTTCAGATACAAGTCCAACGATGGATGTGGCCAGGCCATCTGTTCTTCGACGAGACGAGGTGAGCTGGTCTGAAGCCACATCTCGGAATTTAAGCTGCAGGAAGTTTCAGTCTAATTGTGCTCTTGTTTCACCAAAGCACTGAGCAGTTAACTCTCCATCTTAACTCTTTCTCTCCATCACTCATAGGATGTGGTCTACTCTGACGTCAAGCTCAAATCATCCAGAGAAGCTAAACCTCCACCCAGTGAAAAACACACAGCGGATGATGTCACGTACTCTGAGGTTGTAGTTTTGCGCCAGGAGTATAAATGAGATGAAATGTAAGCTAAAATGATGATGACGTTTTCTTCCTTGTACAACTTGCACTCTTCAGCTGCTGTATGAAAGTTTCATTTACCATCATTTTGGTATCATTTAGTGAAATCAGTACATCAGCTGCTTCTAAAATAAAACCTAACCTCTGTGGCTCCTCCAGGCCGTCTATCCTGCTCTCATAAAGGGTTTTCTCCATGGGCCCATGTTTCTATTACAGCCTCACAGCAGCTGATAAAATACAGTATAAAAAGGAAATTTAATAATTTAATATATAGTGTTAAGAGTCTGCAACCAGCCCAGTGGCTCTGTAAGGCTGTTCTTCAGCTAAATGCTCACGTTAACACGCAAACATGCTTAAAGTGACGATGCTATGATGCTGGTGTTTAGCCATAGATGTGTAACAACAACTAGATGACCCCACGATGGCACCTAGTCAGTCCAGTGGGACTGCTCGCCTGGCACATATGCCAAAAAAGTTTCTAGCCATACAGGATTACCTAAGGATATATGTGCAGTAGTGTTTCTCCCACTGGACCCAGCCGCAAGTTCCTGATCAGCTCAAAGACTTTACACTGTGATGACGTCACAGATTTTTAACTCGCTTTTCTCAGCTTAGGAAAGATTTACAAAGGGAAAACCTCCACGGATCAAAAATTCATAAAAGAAAGTGCCATTAATAACCTTGTTTTCAGTTCGAGGTGTCCTGTCAACATTTAACAGATGTCTCTTTTCCACGGGGAAAATGCTTTTTGGGCGCTGTGGGATTTTTTCACTATGAGTAGACACACAGAAACATTGGAAGCAAGGCTGAGCTGCTCTCCTGGGGGCCTGTGTTTTGCAGGTATAATGTTTACAATCCCCATCATGTCAAAATATAAATGGCCCTATCTAAAGCTAGCATCCAATTTGTCCTTTCTGGGCTACTGTAGGACAACATAGTGGACTCTGTGGAAGAGGATGTGCTCAACATCGAGATATATCTAGGTTTATTCTAAGGTAACATAAAGAGAGCAATTCTTAGTTTCAGGTGATTATACACTAATGAAAACATAGCTATGACTAATATATTTAATTTCTGCCAATATATCCCCCTATATCCTACACACTGGACCTTTAAGCATATCAACTGCAAAATATAGATGTGTGTTTATTTGACCAGTTTAAAAGTTTTATCACATTTTGTTCCTGAAAGCCACGCTGAATCCACGCCTCCGCTGGGATCTGGATAATCCTGTTTTTCTTTAAATCAAAAGGTACACCAATCCTAGTAAAAGGTTTTGAATAACACTTACTGAAGGTTTGATCCAGATCAAAACCAAGACTGGATTACATGATCTAATCTGATTTCAGAGCCCTTTTTCCTTTTGAGCAACTCACTTTCAAGATTTTATCCAATCCTTTAGCCCAGTGGTTCCCAACTGGTGGGTCGTATGTCCATTCTGAACGGACCGCAAGTGACTCACAGAGCTTTGATTTTGATGTGCCGTTTCCCACTGTTGAGTGAGGGACTAATGGACAGCTACTGAAAAGAGACAGCAAACTAGCTCAACTACATGGCCAAACGCACCTGCAGACGCCCTGATCTGATTTGTTTTAATTGTGATCCTTGACATCAGTGGAAGGAAGTACTTGATAACTTAATTACTTAAAGTTTTTAACACTTTCTAACGGTTTGATCCAGATCAAAACCTCAACTGGATTACGTGATCTAATCTGATTTCACAATCCTTTTTCCTTTTAAGCAACTCACTTTCAAGATTTGAGCCAATCCTTTAGCCCAGTGGTTCCCAACTGGTGGGTCGCGCTCCAAAAGTAGGTCACGGGTCCATTCTGAATGGATCGCAATTAGTCTGAGTGGGTGGAAGTTCGCTGCATAGATCAGCCTCTCATTGGCCGGAATGAGCCACCCGCTGAAGTCCCGCCCTACCACCTCTGGTTGTGTAGCAGTTTTCAACCGTTTAACACGTCCTTTTACTAACTTTTGCGGTGTTTGATCTTGTGGGGATGTAGCCATTTTTCTGCCATGGTTCGCGTCCTGTAGGCAATATTTTTGTGGGCGTGTTACACCAAAACCTGTTTCCCCACGGCAATATTTTTGCAAGCGCACCGTTGCTGTGGCACTGTCCAGAACGATTGTGATTGGTTGAAAGAAATACAAGCAGCCGGGGCGTTTTTTCCTCCAATCTCAAAGTGAGAGTTGGCCCAGCCAGACCTTTCTTTTCTTGAGAAAGGTCTGGTGAGCAAGACTAGATTGCAATTGACTCGCAAATGTGTCAAGTTTGAAAAAACACATTTCATTTAAAGTACAGTGGATTGTCAGCATAGCGCTTTTATTTTGAAGTGCTGTTTCCTACTGTGGAGTGAGTGACTAACGGACAGCCACTGGACAAAGACAGCAAACTAGCTGGACAACATGGCCAAACGCAAGCATGACGCTGAATATATTAAACTGTGTGGACCTTGAACTAATGACTAAGGAGAAATCTGGACCCCATGGCTGGACCAGTTGGGAACCACTGCTTTAGCCAAAATCCAATCATATTAAACAATGTGACCCTGAGGACCATGATTGTCTAAAATGACATCACAGTCTATCCAGTAGCTGCTGAAATATCTCAATCTGGACCAAAGCAGTGCAGCTAGCATAGCTTAACAGGGCAACGTAGCGACATGTGGACACGTTTGGCACTATTTGCTTTTAAATATTACAGGTATTACAAGCAGAAGCAGCCACAGTGAGCTGTTTACACCTCCAACACGTCTCTTAACTCACCATGCTGTGCAGTGGAAAAACACTCTCACTGTGCCAACATGACTGCGACATTACAGCACATCACATAACAAAGTTCCTATTCCTCCTTTGTTGACCATCAAAGGAGGAAGACAGAAACAGGAAGACAAAAATTGAAAATGACACAATGGACAGGGAACCAGCTCAGCAATGCAACAGAGTGTGTTAATGACGGCAAGAGCTCAGCGTGTTGAAAAGTGACACCAAACTTGCGCAATCTCTGCAGTAAAATTCTCTCTAGACTTCAATTTTTTTGTGATTCAGCTAAATTGGACATCATGACGTTAAGAGAAGTGATGTGTACCTCGTGCCTTAACCCAGCGTTTGCATGTGAGCCTTTTTTCAGCGTTTAAGGGTTTATGAGTCAGAGAGGGAGGCCACTCTTTCAAACTCTCACTTGTTCTGTTCTGAGCCTTTTTGCTAACAGTAACAGCAATAAATGCATACTATAATAGAGCACTCTACGTATTCTGTTGGCACTGATACAGATAGCAGTTGTAGTAGTATTTCACCACACCCAGTACTGTGTCTGCTGAGGGTTTGAATCTCAAGATCCTGTTCCTAGATGTTGCATTCTGATCGTGCATGTGTAAAAAGGTGATAAAATATGGTTTGCAGAGATGCCGTGATGATGCACGCCATCACTGAACATCACCAACACTCACTATGTTAGTTTCTGCTTTTCAGCTGCGTTTCCTGACTGTGTCACTTTGTGGGTGTGAGATGTCTGCTATACGCTCACTTTGTGTCGCCAGAATAAAATGTTTATTTGTTGTTGTTGCTGTGTTAAGATATTAACTTTAGGGCTAATTTAATTTCCTGTGTTGTTCCATTAAGTTTATATTTAAAATCAGTGCTTGGAGCTGTGATTACAATCAGTGTAATGCATTTGAGATGTTTAATTCCTGTTGAATCATGCAGACGAGCTGGCAGACAGCTGAGCACAGTTCTGTAAATTGTCCCCACATTTATTTTAAAACAGGACTTTGTCAGTGGAAACTGTTAAATAAAGTTCTATATTTTCACAGACATAATCACAGACGTGGTTTCCCTGGTTTTTTTTTTCACTTACTGTGGAGTTGTGTCATGGCAGGAAGTAGATGAGAGAGATAAGACAAGTGCTGTTTGAAGAGCATGCATCATGAAAGTCTTTCCATAGCAGTCTGTTATTACTCAGACATGAGAAGAAAAACTGCAGATACGTGTCACTGTAGCACAACTGAGAATGAAAGAATATTAGTCATGTGCTATTGTGTTAACAAATGTGACTCTGAGGACAAAGTGGATGATGAGGTTGATTGTGATCGTGGCAGGAAATACCACATGCTCAGAGGGTCACAGGTCTGGTGAATATGCAGGCCGCACAAAAACTGGGATGTTTTCAGCTTCCAGAGATTGTGTAAAGATCGATATAGGTCGGGGCCTTGCTTCATCATGCTGCAACAGGACGTCATGGCCGCAGATGAATGGTATGACAAAAGGTCTCAGGATCTCGTCACTGCATCTCTGTGCAGTCATGCTGCCATCAATAAAACGCACCTACGTTCATTGTCTGTAGCTTTTGCCAGCCCATACCATAACCCCACCTCCACCATGGCGCACCCTATTCGCAATGTTGGCATTAGCAAACCGCTCGTCCATACTTGCGACGCCATACTGCCCGATACAGTGTAAACCAGGATCCATCTGTAAAGACAACACTTCTCTAAAGTGCCAGACGTCACTGATGATAAGCAGTCAGGTCAAGGCCCTGGTGATGACACCAAGTGTGTAGATGAGCTTCCCTGATATGGTGTCTGATGGTTTGTGCAGAAAGTTGTGCAACAAATTATTGCATCATCTGTTCAGGTGGCTGGTCGAAGGGTGTTTTCACATAGAGTCCTTTTTAAACAAACCAAACTCAGACCTCCTTAAGTGCACCAAAAAGTGGACCTACAGAAAAGGGACTTGGTTCTTTTTGTGTTCACATTGTCAATTCATTTGAAAGAGGATTCAGTTCTCTCTCAGGTCGACTTCAGCTCTGATGGAGCCTCAGTCCTCTTTCTGTTCACACCATAGCCTGTATACAATATATATATATATCGATGGCATTGCAGTGCGGTAATGAAGCCCTTAATTTTCCGATGAACTTAAACTTGGAGGGAAATCTTCGCGTCTCTGTGCTGTAGATTGTTGCCGTTTGATGTATTCTACATTCCACATCTGGAGACAGGCAGTATCTTCCGTGGACCAAACTACTCCTCGTCCTGTGTCTTTGCAAGCGTTACAGGCCGACGTTGTTTCATCTGTTTTTTTTCAAGTGTCCCAGTGCAACAGCATGTGATCTAGGGGGCTAAATACAATGGCAAAGAGCAAAGTGAACCTGGAT